TTGCTGTGTCAAGTTAATTGAGCAGACAATGATATTGTCCTTTCATTTCAATTACTACAGTTTGAAGTAGGTACGTTTCTGTCGTATATAATATTCAAAAGCCCGCGATTGGTCATGGGGATCGAGATAACCGAGATTAAGTGGAAAATTTGACCGCCTTTTGTGCTCGAGATATCAGAGTTCGGCGAAATAAAAGAATCGACATAACCGAGGAGAAAATGCTAAGACAAAGAGAGAATTTTCGCGGTTCCACTTCAAAAACGTCGACATAACAGGGTTGGCGAGTTAACCGAAGTCGAGATAAGCGGGTTCAACTGTATATTTATAATATGGCCATTGAATACATTTTATATGCATTTCCAAAAATAGACTTCTGAACTCTATTGTAGAGCATGATGACATCATACAATTATCATCCACCATACTTTAAAAGTGGGTGTCATTTTGTGAAGAACTGGAAATTGAACACATCCTTCCAACCTGAACACCATCAAACACATCGAGTCTGGTCAGTGGCGTAGCAATGGTGGGGCGCTCCGCCCATTTCTCGGACTGTGTGTGCTCTAAGGTTACATACTGTGTGTGCAGTTACTTGAGTTACTGAGTCAGTTGGCGTATGACCGTTATCACTCTAGTTATCATTCATTCAATTTTTATCATCATCATTGCCAATTTTTCAGGCATCATTTATGATCATTATAATTCATTATGTAAGAGATTATTAATAATTTACCGAATAAGTTTAACTTTTAAGTAAGTTTTAAAAAATATAAAGATTAGTTGCGTTACAAGTTACATTCAATTATTTTTCATTTGATACCAAATTTGGTAAAAGTGCAGTTCAGGTGCGAATATTATTTCTGTTTGAATCTCTTATTTTCCCGTGTAAACTTATGTTAATTCTTTATAAAAAGTATTTTAAAAGTTATATAGCCATCTTTTTATTGGAATACAACAATAATTTAACAAATTTTACGAGATTAAAAAAAGTACATTTTTATGAATCTTTCATGTTTTACGGAGCCATTGTGGTAAATCAAGGATAACTCTTCTGTCTTTAAAGATACTTTATAAAAGTTGCCCAATTGGATGAATCTTGTTAAAATAAATGATGTAGGCCTATTTATTTTATAACTTTACTATCAACTATAACCGGAGTTGCCCGGGGCTGCATTCAGACAAAAACATCTGCTACGTCCTTTTAGTTCACATTGCTATTAAAGGAAATGGCAACAACAAAACAACAACACTATAGTAAAAATAATAATAATTAATTTGTCTCCTATTAAAAACAATTAAAATAACTTATGTAAACCTTTCGTTTTTCCCGTTTTCCGATG